ACCCAGGCAGGGCAGAGGGCATGGAAGGAGCCAGGCCAAGAGGGAGGGAGCGGGCAGACGAGAGAGATAACAGGGCATGCGTGTTAGTGACAGACAGAGCAGAGAGGGGCCAGGACCCCGTGCCGAGGGCAGCCAGCGGTGGCCCTGGGTCAGGGCTGGGTGCAGGACTGGTGGCGGTCAGGGGACTTGGGAATAGGCCCCCGCCGGGTCTTGGAAAAGAGGTAGAGCAACTGGCAGCCCCTCCTTTGGTGCCCACCTCCTGCCCGGTTCAAAGCAACCTGTCCACTCTCAAGAGTTCCCTTGACTGTCCAGCTCCAGGCCACCCGTGTGCCCACCCGTGGAGCCAGGGATGGTAAGGGAGGGATGCCCTTCCTCCCTCTTCGTGCCCAGAGGGGGGCACACACTGGCACCGGCCATTCCATTGGGAGCAAGGGCGAGGGTTGGGCTGCTTTACCACAACCTCCATGGGGCGCACCCTTCCAAAGGCAGGGAGCAGCCCTGTCCCCCCCCTCCCTCGGCCGGCGGGAGAGGCTGGGACCTCATCAGGGCCGCTCCAGCCCCAAGCCCTGCCAGAGCCGCGCCCTGACCCCGCTGTAGGAATTACCTTCTTAAAGAAGGGGATGCGCTTGCCGTGGGGTGGCGGGGTGGTGACACTGCTAACGCTAGTCTTGGCGGAGCCGCTGTGCTCCCCCAGCTCTGCCTCGTCCTCCTCTAACTCTAGGGGGTCTAGTTCAAAGGCTAAGTTAGTCATCTCATTACCTGGACCAAGCAGGAGTCGGGGAGGAGGACAGGGAAGAGGATGAGATGGACGGAGACACAGAACAGAACACAGGGACGGGGTGGGGAGAGAAAGAAAAAGAGGTGAATGGAACAGGGCTGGAGAAATGAAGGGGGCGGGGGGCAGGCAGAGAGATGGAGCTACCAGAGAGGGGACAGGAGAGACACGACAGGCCCAGCGTGGGGGACCCTAGCCTTCACCACTGCGTGTGTTGGGGGGGCTCAGAATTGGGGTGCCTCCTACTGCAGGAGACAGAGGTCAGGCAGTGGGGGCACCACCCCACCCAGGAGCGCCCCCACCCCACCCCCAGGGTTGGCAGCTGCTCTTACCACTGGCAGGGGGTGTGGGGCGGCGGGTGCCAGTCACCACGTCTCCCAGACTGGAACTCGAGTTGTCACCTGATTTGCTGTGTGGGAGGGAGGCAAACGGAGCCGGTGAGAGAGGGTGGGCACCGCAGGCACGGGGTGTCTTGTCCGCCCACGTGCTGTGCCCTCAGGGGTCTCCAGCGCCCCCTTACACCACCCCCAGGGATGCCACGGGGCGCTCTATGCCCTCGGAGCCAGGGGTCCAGGCACCTGGAGCTGAGGCGGTTCTGGCGCAGTTTCTGCTCCTGCAGCAGCCGCAGGCTGTCCAGCTTGACGGGGCTGGGGATGAAGCCCACCTCACAGCCCTCCTTCACCAGCCGCCCGATCCACCAGTCGTTATTGTATTTCTGCAGGTGACGGGAGGGCAGGGGGCACTGAGTGGAGGAGGACTGGCATCTTCTGCGGCCATGGACTGGCCCGCCCTTGCAGAGGCGAGGAGCTTCCCTCCTCCCAGGCACCCACCCTGCTGGAGCTAGGCAGTGGGGGCAAATGTAGACACCTAAGTGTGCCTGGCACTATCGCTCCCGTCATGACTAACCCTTACAACTGCCTGGTGACCTCGGCACCGCTGCTCACTCACCCCGACAAATCCCCTCCTGCACCCGCCCCCGGGCCCTGTCCAGGCGCCAAGCTAGCCCACCTCCTTGATGTGCAGGAAGTCCTTGGGCTCGAAGGTGATGGCCACGCCCTGCACGGGCACCTCGTCCCCCGGAGACGGATTGTAGCCCACGTTTGTCCGCACAGCAAAAGCCACAGGCTTAGTCTAAAGGAGGCACATGGGGGAAGAGGACAGGGACACCAGAGAGTTAAACCACTGTGTATCACCCAACTTCCCCACCGGGGCGACGGGGGCGGTCATTCTGCACTGTGTGGTTTGTAAATCCTTCATCAGAGTGCGCAGTGAGAGGTCCGTGTGGTTTCCCTTATGCTAACGTTCACAATGAGAAAGAAACTCTCCACCCTCTCGGGGTGGAGAAGGACTCTCTGGAGTCATGAGTATTGGTGGCAAAAGTGCCCAGAGTGACACCCAGTAGGGACAAGCCTAACAAAGGCAGAGGAGGTTTCCTGTGCCAGGCATGACGTTACAGGTTTCCCGTGGGTTAGCTCATCTGCTTATCAAAAAAGCCCGTCGATGTAAGGGCTCTTACATTTGTCATCTTATTTTATTTTTAGTTTTCTTTTTTTGTTGTTTTTCTTCCGGTACCAGGAATCGAATTCACGACCTTGCACTTGCCAGGCAGGCGCCGTGCTGCTGAGCTAAATCCCAGCCCCTTATTTTATTTTTAAAACTTATTTTCATTTATTTATTTTATTCTTCGTGCTGGGTATGGAACCCAGGGAGCACTGAGCTACATCTCCAGCTCTTCTTTTCAGACACGTTGCCCAGGCTGGCCTCAGACTTGCAATCCTCCTGCTTCAGCCCCCCAGATAGCTAGGATTACAGGTGAGAACCACTGCACTTGGCTTTTTAAAATTTTTCGTATGTGTATTCCATCCCCAGAAAAGGAATCCCAGAAATTCCCCTTCTGTGTGTTTTCATCTTGCTTCTTTGTGGACCAGGATGCCAGGGGCCAGCTAAGGTTGTAAGTACTATGAAATTCAGGGATGGGAGCAGAATATTTTGCTTTTCTTTCTCTTTTCTATTCTTTTGTTTTTTGGGACAGGATCTCAGTATGTAGTTTAGGCTAGCCTAGAACTCCCAGCAATCCTCCTGCCTCAGCCTCCCAAGTGCTGGGATTACAGGTGCGCCCCACCACGCCTGGCTTCATCTTTCATTTGTTTTCGTTTCTGAGACAGAATCTCACTGTGTTGCCCAGGCTGGCCTCAAATTCCTGAGCTCAAATGATCCTTCTGCCTCAGCCTCCCAATTAGCTGGGATTACCCATGTACCACCAAGACAGCTGTCTGCACATCAAATTTGGCCACTCTAGCTGGGCGTGGTGGTGCACACCTGTAATCCCAGCACTTGGGAGGCTGAGGCAGGAGGATTGTTGCAAGTTCGAGACCAGCCTGGGCTACAAAGTGAGCTCAAGTCCAGCCTGAACTGCACAGTGAGACCCTGTCTGGAAAAAAAAAAAAAAAAAAAAAAAATGGCCACTCCACACTTGTAGAAGCCACCTGTGGGGCTCAAAGCAATTTCCAACTCTGTGACATCAGTGATTTCAAATTCGCCAAGGAGACCGCACTTCAGCACTACAGTCAGAAAGCAGACGGTGCCCGTGGCCTAGTAACAACCACCTTGGCCTCTCTGTTCACCACCGTGGGGCTCCCCAGACTATCAGCCAGAATGTTCACGTGTCCCGTTACGGTGGCACAGACACATGACCAGAAGAGCTACCTTCCTTTTAATGAGTAAGGCTCACTACCGTTCAGAGAAGTGAGGTGACTCGCCTAACATCACACAGCCATTAAGAGTCAGGGCAGGGGTTCCAGCCTCGGGAATGTGGTTCCAGGAAGAGGTGGCCATCTTTCTGTTTGCCGGGCTCCTGGGATTTGTGCAGACAGCGAGACCCTTCTCCTGCTGCCCGGCGAGGCGGGTTTTCCAGTGCAGGACTCACAGGTGCAGACACAGGCACCCTGAGGCCAAGGGGGCCCTGCCAGACGCCAGCCCTGGCCCGTCCAGCTGCCTCCTGAGCCTTCCTCACCTTGGCTTTCTCGAGCTGGGCCAGTGCCTGGCGCTCTGCCTCCTTCCTTAAGGCTTCTCGGTCTTCCTCCAGGGACACATCAGAGTCCGATGGGCGGCTGGTATAGGACTCCGCTGAGCCCTGAAAGCAGACAGCACCGCCTCAGGGCTGAGGTCACTGCCCCCCGCTCCTGGGTGCCACCCTCCCCACTGCCCCAGGCAGCCCAGCACAGAGGCCTAGCAGAAGGTGCTTTGCGGAGGAAGGGTCCAGGGACCAAGGTTTGCAGGTCCATGGGAGCAGGGTGGCCCCTGAATGGGTGACAGCAGCAAACCGGGGGTTAAGGCAGGTCCAGGGACAGCTGCTCGGGGGCCCCGGGAGGGGTGGGAACCTGATAGGGCACAGCACAGGGGAGAGGTGCCAGGGGCCGCATCTCGCGCCCGCTCCTCCTTCCCTGCCCTGCCCTGCCCCCAGTGTCACGGAGAAGGGCCCGGTAGTCAGAGGCGTCCCTCCCAGGGACGGCACCACACAGGAGGCCTGACTGTCCACGCTGGGACTGAGCCAGAGGGTGGAAAGAAAGACCCCTCCCTCCCTGCCCCTCTGGCTGGTCCACCAGGATCAGGCCACCCTACTCAGAGCCAACCCTGGGGCTAGCATAAGACGCAGAGAGAATGAAGAGTCACAGAGTGGCGCAGGCGGGAGAGGGAGGTCAGCAGCAGAGCACCAAGGCCTTCTCCCAACACCTGGGCTCTAGGCCCTGCATGGGAGCCGCTCGGAACGCTGGGTGCCAGGATGCTGGGCTCGACCACCTGGACCAACCTGCGCACAGGGGCTCCTTTAGGGTTCACACACGTGTGCGACATGTGGGAGACACATGGAGCCCCAACACGGCAACTCCTGTGTCCGGGGAGGGTGCTCTGTGGGCCCTGCTGGCTGTGCACAGCCACGAAGGCCTGCGTCCCTGAGGGTGGGAGTCTCCAGAGCTCAGGGGACCGAAAGTGCGTGTTTGCGTGTGACTTCCGAGGTGAGGCTGCAGCATGGGTCAGGGGAGATGTGGGGGACCTTTCTTCGGGACACGGAGGGTCACCTGGCTGGGAAAGCCCGCTGCTTGGTACAGAGGGGACCCAGGAAGGAGGGAAGACAGGGTGCCACCTCTTTCTAGTGGCCTCTGGTTGTGAGCTGGTGCAGTGCCCAGTCATTTCCCAGCCAAACTGTGAAGACGTGACGCGGCAGGGGAAGGGTAGGCAGTCCCTTCAGAAGTCCCTAACAGAAGCCAGAAAGACGCACCGTGGAGAGAGAAAGCAGCCCAGTCCCTACTGTCCCCCTCTGGCCAGAAGCACTCAGTCAAGGGACAGATACCCAAAGAGGCTAGACAGACACAGACGGTGGTGCAGAGAGGGGTTCATGGACTCCAACACCCGCGCATGCGCATACGTGCGTGCGCCGGCGCACATGCGCACACACATACACAGCTCACCAACAGAGGAGGCCAGGAAACGGAGGCGGCCAGGGGATGGGTTGGGGCGACGTTCCCCCAGCAGCTTTTCTGAGGGGCTGTTCTCCCCACCCCAGCCTTGCTCTGTCCCCACTCACCGCCACGAGGGTCCGACTGGGCGCCTCCATCCCGGCGCCCTCGGTGCCCGGGCCTGCTGGCCTAGGGGGTGGCCCAAACTGCCCGTTCCCCCGGGGGCTCAGGTTACAAGCAGAGTTGCTACATGTGCAAACTGCTGGGGTATATTTAGCTCGGAGACGTGGCAAGGGCGGCCCCCGCACGCCCGCCACCCACTGGGGGGTCAGAGCTGGGAGCCCAGAGGAAGAAGAATCGGAGGCTGGGGTCTGACACCCTGGCTCAGGAAATACTTCAGGACCCAAGCCAGAGGGGAGGGTCCTGCCCAGAGGGGAGGAAGAGCATAGCCTCCTTCCAAGCCTTGGTGCCGGCTCAGGGCTGCAACAGGAGGGACGAAGCAGTGAGGGAGGAGGGACTTCCCGTCTGTGTCCTTAGGAGATGCTGGGATGCAGGCCTCCCTTCCTGATCTTCCAAGCCAGGCCTGGGCCCGCATGTGCCAAGTGCAGAGACAGAACACCCAGAAAGGAGGGCCTTGCTCGATCATCGGGGAGTGACCTGGTACTGCCCTCTCTCTCCTGGCCCCAAGGGGGCTGCCCCACCCACAGCCCTCTGCCTCTGGGTGCCCTGCCTCCTCCCTCTGTAACACACCTCTTTCCTCCTCTGATTTCATCTCAAGCCCCTCTCGCCTTTTTTTGGTTACCAGGCTTTGTTGAGGTGCTCTGTAGCCATGGTAACCGCATGTCTCCCTCAATATCTCCCTGAACCTAAGATGGCCCGGGTTGAGTTAGAAGACACAGGGGAGCCTCAGCTTTGGGGCTGGCAGGGGCTGAGCCCGGCAGACCCAGAAAGCTATGCTTGGATATCTCCCTAACTCAGGGGTGCTGGGCTCTGGTCCCCCGTAAAATACAACCCCCCTTGCTCCCCAGTCCCACCTTCCCTCTGCACATGACACAGTCACATGTGGAAGTGAAGAGCCTGTGTCCCTGCTCCAGGCCTGGTCAGGGCTCCAGGGACCCAAACGTCCCAGTCCTCGTTTCCCAGCACCTGCCTCCACCCCACCCTGTCACAGATTCCGGGGGAGGACGTTGAAGCAGACAGCCGGCAGGGGGAGTGGGTGACAGCCCGAAGCAAGCTAGGAGGAGGCAGGCCAGGCTGTCCCTGAATGAGATGACGCAGGCGGCAGGCGGCAGGCGCAGGGGCTGGTGCGGGAGGAGGGGTTGGCGGGGGCGGGGGCTGAGGCAGTGGGTGCAATTGACAGCACATCCCGGAGAGGGCTTGGGGTGTCAGAGTGTTCGGGTGGTTCCAGGCAGGTGACAAATGACGTGGGGAAGGGTGCCTGGAGAAAGCTGCAGGCCAGCTCCTCAACGCGGGCCTCCGCCAACCAGCCATCTCCCTCCCCTCGGCTGGCCCAGCCTGACCTCCCATTACCTGGCGGACAAAGCTGTTGGATGTGGTATCCGAGGAGGTGCTCCCGTCCGAGCGTTTGAACCGCCCTTTCCTCTTGCTGTATTTGCCCTGGGGACGACAGGAAGGAACTATTGTGGCAGCAGAGAGGACCTTTCCCCAGCCCTGTCCCACCAGGGCTGGGGCCACAGCCAGGCCTTGGGAGCATCGGCCCTGGGTCTGCACAGCCCCACCCCCATGCCCTGCATTTCCCTCAGGAGGTGGGGTGCAGCCACGGGGAGGGAGGGTCTCCCAGATCTCAGCCCTGAGCCGAGGCGGCCACACACAGGAGCCCCCAAACCAAGCCAGAGGCTGGGAAAGGGGAGGCCCAGGAAGCAGGAGGCTTGTTAGGCAGCAAAGCTAATTAAAATGCTGGGCAGGCTGCAAAGGCCTCCCAGGGAGGAAGCTGCCTGCAGCAGCGCTGAGGGCGGAGGAGACCCACGAGGGGGCCAGGGAAGTCCCTTCCCACTGTCCCTCCGCTGGAGCTGAGGGGGCTGAAGGGACCTGCTTCTTCCCCAGCCCAGCTCCTTGCTTTCCAGGGTTGGGAGGGGATGGAGGCTCTGAGCTCTTGCAGACTCAAAGCTAGATTTCTGGGGAGGAGGACAGGGTCATAGAACCTGTTTGCAAAGTAAACATTCAACTCCAACTGTGGCCTGCAGCCACGGGGGGAGGTGGGGGGGTGGGGGTGCAGCACTCCCCACACCCACCTCCAGCCTGCCAGGACTGTTTCTCAGCCCCTTCCTCAAAATCACAGTGGCCACACCCCTCCCCAAGGGGGCTGCAGGGATCCATTCTCAGCCCCCTAGGGCCCACTGCCTGCTACCTACACCCGCTCCCACAGTACCGGCTGCAGCAATCTAAGGGACCCCGGCTCTGCCCCAAGCTGAGCTCAGGGTGCAGCCCCATAGGTCGCAGGCTTAGGCTGGCTGCCCAGCGCCCAGACTCCAGGCTCCGCTCCGGTGGGGTGTGCTGTGTGCCACTCGCGCAGGCGTGGCCATACACCCAGCTGCAGGCTTCAGGTGTCCCGAGGCCTCCCGCAGGGAGCTGCCTCTCTGTCCTCCCCACTCTCAGACACACCAGCCTGGCCCAGCCAGAATGGACAGAAGATGGAGAGCTCGGCCCTGCAAGCCCTGGCCCCAGGCTCGTCGCAGACTTTCTCTGGCCGCGGAACCTACACAAGCTGGGAGCAGGCTGCTGGCTCTGGCTCCTGGGACAGGAGGAGGATGGATAATGGGACAGGAGAGCACTGGGGGACCCTTTCCCGCCCTCTTCTCCTCCCAAAGTGGCCGTACACCCAAGCCAGTTGTCTGGCTCCCTACAAACCTAGCAGGCTCCTGCATGGAGCCCAGACTCTCCCACCACCGCCACCGCCACCCCCACCTCAGGCTGGGCAAAGGGAGTGGCGCTCGGAGGGACAGGGGACAGCTGAGAGAAAGGCCCCAGCCAGCTGCCTCCCAGACTCCAAGGGGCCCAGAGTGGAGGAATTGGGTATTTTTAGGTCTGATCTGACCCCCTACACACCCGTCAACCACAATACCACGGTGGCCAGCTGCTCCAGGCTGGCTGCAGCCACACAAGAGTTAATGTTATCCTTGAGAAGGACATGTCCCACAGAAATCCCTGGCGTGACCACCTTAAAGCGGGCTGGCGGCTCCAGGGAACCACCGCGGGGAAGAAGAATGCCCCTACGTGGGGGGACCAGGGGCAAGGGAGGGATGGGAGCGGTGCAGCTGCAGACCTCTCCCCGGGGTGAACAGCTCCTTGCCCTCCAGGACAGTGAGCGGGCATCCATCCAACTTTCCAAACTTCGGAGGTGTTTTCGGGGCTGGGGGAGGGGCAAGCCAACCTGGGGGAGGGGGAGCTGGACCAAGATGGGGATAGGTGGTGGAGGCTGGCACAGGGGCCTGGTCGAGGGCTGGCCCCTTCCCCACCCTCGAGAGCAGTGTCTGTGGCTCGCAAGGCCTGACGGCACCGCCCTCTGACCAGCGCCTCAGTCATCATCCAGGGCCACCTCCACCCCACCCACCCACTCGGGCCTGGTGCCCCCAAACGAGCTCGGCGTCCCCCACCCCCGGCTTGTCTGCGCTGGCTTCCTTCAACCTCCCTTCTCAAGGCCTAGATCCCCTCTACCAGACCCCCACCCCGGGTCTCAGCCCACCAGGCTGGTACCCGCGCTGCGGGGACCATGACGCGGGGGAGACGGAGAGGCGCGGGTGACAGGCGGCCCGCCCGCCCCTTCTTCGCCCAGCGGCACCGAAGGCCGACTCCCGGCCAGGGACGCAACCACCGCGAATCCCGAGATCAGGGGCGCACGGGTACCCTCAGCCCCCACCCCGCACCGCACCTCACCTGCGGGCTGGGGTCGAAGACTTCCATGGGGATCTCTTGAGAGGGTGGGTAGGGGCCCCGGGACATGCTGCTCTTCTGGACCATGGAGAGGAGTCTCCCCTCCGGCCGCCGGCCCGGCTCCGCCGCGCGTCCTCCGCGCACCGGAGAGGCCGTCGGAGCCGAGCGCAGCGCCCTGAGCGCCTGAAGCCGCCG